AAATTGTAATCACTATATTTAAAAACACTTGGAACCAAATTTGATGAACAACCATGAATCAATGAGCAAAATTATTTTACCAGTCACTCTCAATTTTTCGATTTTTGTTAAATTTTCAAAAAATGGATTATCTTATCGATCTAACAGTATGCACAACTTGTTATTAATTTTTCTCATATTTTTTTAGGAATTCAAGTGCAAAGTCAACTCAGATTCAAGATTCCAACTATCTGCTGAATATTGTCAAGGATTCAGCAACCGCGTCGACCTGTGGGATAAACCTGAAATATATTCCCGGGGCAACTACAAAGGTATGCTTAAATACAAAAAATACATCATATATTTTCTAACTAATTATATAATTTTTCTATTTTAGGTAAACGTGGCCTGGCTTGGCAGCAAAGTGGATCCTGCCATTACAATTGCATGGAAAGTGGTAGCGGAATTAGACTTATTACTTCTAAAAGTAAACCAAAAATGAGTAACATCCAATTGTGCCATCAAAATATAAATGTAATAGCAAACACATGAATCCTAGTCAATAAATATTTGACTGAAAATAAATATTTGTTTTAGGAGTGTACTAGAGTTTGGTCAACATTTCAATATGCAACTGCCATTTGTACTAAATATAAGGAACGGGTCAAACGTTTGTCTGGTTTGGGGATGCAAATATCTCCCACAACAGGTATTTAATAATACAATTTTTTTCATTATTGCAATTATTATAATACTAAATTTTATCTTAGATGAGAAGCACAGGGCTTGCCGGGTAGCTTGCCAGGATGAAAAACTTCAACACAGGTAAAAAAACTAGTGGTGTATGACATCGTGCCTTAAGGCAAATTGCTGGAACTTCCTGTACCGTAATAAAATATTCGAGAAATTTTAAACATTTTCAAATATATTATTACAAATACTGTAACTTTCATTATTTTTGCCATCTTGTTATATCTGTGCAAATCAAATGTAAATCATGAATCAATTTATCTCCAGAACATTAACAATCGTCATTTTATTTCGAATTCAATTTCAAAAAAAATAGTTGCCTAATTTACACAAAATTGAAAAAGTGCTCCTGTATAGTCACAGTCTAAACGCATTTGCAAATAATTCTGTGCGACATTTTCACTTATACTATACTTAGCTTGGCGGCATTTTCACATTTTTTAATAGTTTTCACAAAATTGGAAAAGTACATAAACAGTCTAAACGCACTTGGGTAAGCATTTGTACCAGAGTGGCGCTTAGACTGTGCTTAGCCTGGGCAATTTTTTTAATTTTTCAACCAAAATTACAAAATATTTTTTGAAAAAAAAATAGAAACAATTTTTTTTTCCAAAAGCAATTATTTTGTCGAATTTGTTTTGTTTTCTGCACTCTTTGCTCCATATCTCCGTAACGCCTGGACCTGCCTTTGCCAAAAACTAATCAGCACATCTCCCTATCAATAGGAATCGAATGTTTTCTATGTCCGAAAACGTGGACGAAAAAATGCGGACATACAAAACACATACACACAGACACATCAATTTTTTCTGAGGTATGCCAAAATGTTCAGAAACCTTCAAAACGTCGAGAAATGCAAAAATTTTCATTTTCGATTTTCGACCCATTACTATAACTACCATACGGAAAGTTAATAAATTGAATAATCAATAATTGAATAAAAATTGAATAAAACTCCTAAATTTCTGCTCCAAAAAATAATAAAAATCAACTACATTAACCAAAAAATGGTGATAATTTAACCAAAGTGTAAGGTTGCACTCAAAAGCTCACAATTTCCAAACTACCTAGAATAAATTTTTTGTCTAATATTTTTCATAATAGTTACAATAAATACTATAAACCCGTTTACACTTGACGTTGAGTTCTGGGACACCCTGTATAAATAATACTACTTAAAATAATAAAATAGCACAAAATTAGAAGTTCAATAAGAACGAAATCAGCTTTGGAAAATTAATACAAGATCTATACGATATATTATTTAATGAAAATGTTTTAACAAATGTTTGAGACATTAAACAATAGAACTTGAAATGCTAAAAATGAACTCACAAAAGAAAATATTTTACCCTGAAAATAAAATTGTACAACAAATGTACTGTCGCCCAAACAAAATATACAGTTTGTTTCTATTTTTCGTCAAACTAATAATAATATTTTTGTAATTTTTTTTAAGGTTTTACCTAGTAAATGGGCCATCAGGATGGTTCCCATTCGGCACCGATTGCAGTAGAGGAAGACCTATAAGGGCATACTGTGTGAGCGGACAATGTTTGGTAAAAACAACCCTTTATTTATTATTTTTATTGATTATACTGTACATCAATTTACAACCATCATTTTCTATACTAATAATATTTATTATTATTATAATTCAAGGAATTTGGAACCGATGGCATACCGATTTCTGATACATCGTGGCTACTAAAATCTAATACGCCAAATATAATGAGGCTGAGATAATTTGAAAGATGATAACTGAATTTTGTACAGATATTTGGAAATAAAATTATTAATATAATTTTGAAAATGTTGTATTTTTGTGCTGAATAGAGAAAAAAATTATTTGAGACTGAAAACAAGCTATTCCACAAAATTGAAAATCAAGTTGTATCTCAATTTACATAATTTTACATTCAGTTCCAATACCTAAATATAACTACTACAATATATGCAACAATTTGCATTTATATTGGCTAATATTTGTCATAATTATATAGCACATATATTTATTGCTTTTGTATATTTTACTACTACATTTTTATTACATCAGTCTACTACAAATGGCCTACAATTTTGAAATATATTATTGTTTTCATATAGGGTGTCCCAGAACTCAACGTCTTGATGGTATTGATAACAACTTTATGAAAAAAAATTGGAAAAAAATAGTTTATTCTATAAAGTTTAAAAATTATGAGCCTTTACGTACAACCTCGAGCTTTGGTCAAAAGGCGATGATTTTTTGGTTATTTTGGTTAATTTTTATTTATTTTTTTATTTAAACTTTGGTACTGTAACCTTAGTAACGAATATATAATTTAATTTATAGATAAAAATAGAATTTTTTAGAATTTAGACTATTGTTAAAGTACGAGTTTAAATTTTTCAAAATTGATCGACTTTAAACGAGCCACGTTTTTAAAAAAAAAAAAATGTTTCAAAGTATGTTGGCAAAATTCATCAAAAGTTCGAATATTTAATCAGTATTGTGAATTAGTAAAACACTTGATAGTTTTATAATAAAAAAAATGAGTAAAAAATAAAAACCAAAAATAACATAACAAGCATTTAAACTTATTGTGATCAAAATGCAAACTTCGTGTTATTTTTAAGTTTTAATTTTCTACTCGATTTTTTTATAATAAAACCATCTAGTATTTTACCTCTTCACAATCCTGGATAAATATACAAATTTTTGATAAATTTTCCAATATACTTTAGTACATATTTTTTAAAAGAGAGCCTTACAAAGTCGAACAATTTGCAAAATTTTACGTTCATAGTTTACCAAAAGTCTTAATTCTAGAAAACTTGGGGAAATAATGTCATTAATTTTTTGCTGAGGTCCTAGAAATATTATTTACGTTTATGGTTCCAAAGTTTAAATAGACAAAAATAATAAAAATTAACCACAATAACCGAAAAACAGAAACAACTTGATCAAAGCTCTAAGTTGCACTTAAAAGCTCTTAATATCCAAACTATCATAAAAAAAAAATTGTGTAATATTTTTCTATTTCTAGAAAACTAGGGAAAATGAGTGTCATTATTTTTTTACTGAGGTCCTGGAAATATTATTTACGTTTACAGTTCCAAAATTTAAATTGACAAAAATAATGAAAATTAACCAAAATAACCGAAAAATGGTAACAATTTGACCAAAGCTCTAAGTTGCGCTCAAAAGCTCATAATCTTCGTAATAAAATTTTTGTCTAATATTTTTCATAATAATTACTATCAATACTGTAATTTCCACTTGACGTTGAGTTCTGGGACACCCTGTATAAATAATACTGCTTATGAATAATACTGCTTATAATAATAATTAAAACGAATTAGATGTTCAATTAAAAAGAAATCAGCCTTGGAAAATAAATACAGGGCATATACAATTATTATTTAATTTTAGGTACAGTGCAACAGACAACAGGTGAATTTACTATTCCCATCAACAATATATGCTACATCAGTCTAAAATTATTTGCATTTGATGCACAAGAATAGAAAAATATATTGAGATATATTTTATATCATCATTGAAGTATTTATTTGTACTCCAGTTGGATGACTATAGGAAATCATCTCATTTTTTCTAATACTGTAAATTTGTGGGTAATTACCTCCTCAACAAAGTAGAGATCAACATAGAAATATTTATCTATGACAATATTTTTACGTATTCATGCTAAAAAGCTAAATATTATTTGAAATTATACTAGTTAACAGGTTTTGTTTAATATTTTAAGCTCATTGATTTTGTTGGTTTCATAAATAATGTTTTTAAATTCGAGTAAATATGTTGGACGACATCAATTTTTGGCTAATTTATCTAATTCTACTTGTAATATAATTATCACAACTTATTTGAGATTCTCAGTCGATCACGACTGTTTACAGAGATATTATTAACATTTATTTATTATATTTTTGTATATATATATATATAATAGTTTTATATATTTAAAGTTTAGATTATGTTTCAACTATTAAAATTAACATGAGCAGAGCTCAAAAAATATCACAAATTGAAGTTTGTAAATTAATTGTTAGCTAAAGTGATATTAAAAATATATTCTGTCTTATAAAAATATAGTCAGAAAATATAAATATATATTTATATGTACACACTATTCATTTTTTTAAATTAGGTACATATAAAGCGTAAGCTGATTTGATAACTGTTTTCATCAAGAAAAGCATTTAGCAATCTGAGATTCATAAAATCTTGATAAACTGAAATTATTTTTATCGTTTTCTTACCGTATTTAAAACGACATCTTTTTTTGTTCCTGATCATGGCATTCTGCACACAAACAACCTCCAGAAGATTGCAATTCATGTGCTTTTTTGTCATGACAAACTATATGAACTAGTTTCAAATTTGCCATAGTGAATAGCTCCAAAAAATATATTACCTGAAAAAAATTGATAATATTTCTCTGAAACATTTATGAAATTTTGTAATCACGTTCGGGATGACTGAGGTCAAAATCTATTTTTTATACCCCAAAGTGGTAAAAATTGGCCGAATTTGATTTTTTTTTAAAGGCACTTACAGCCATAAAATTTCACCCTTCTACCACAAACTGTAAAGGTTCGTATTAGTAATTTTAGTAATTAAACTAGTGGTGTATGGCATCGTGCCTTGAGGCAAATTGCAGGAACTTCCCGTACCGAATTAAAATTTTGAGTATCTGAATTATTATCGATATTAATTTTTTTTTTGAAATTCAAAAAAATTGAAAAAAAAATCCAAAAACAATCACGTTTTTTTAATTATTCAAATCAGATGCTTATTTCTCTCAAAAACTGCAATTTTTTGCACATTTAGCTCCGTATCTCCGAAACGGCAGGACCTGCCTTTGCCAAAAACTAATCACCACTTCTCCCTATCATTACGAATTGAATGTTTTTTGAATGATTAAAATCGGATGATCCGTTCTCTCAAAAACTCGATTTCTATTTTCTGCACTCTTTGCTCTGTAACTCCAAAACGGCTGGACCGACCTTTGCCAAAAACTAATCAACACATCTCTCTATCAATTCAACCATTCAAATCGGTTGATCCGTACGCCCAAAAACGTGGACAAAAAATTGTAAAAATATTAAAATAACAAATTCTATTTGAAAATGCAACAAAAATCCATCTTTTTAAAGTGAGTAATTTTTTTAAATCAGAATTACTGACTAAGAACTTTGTTATTCGATTATGTAATGTTTTATCTTATATTTTTGGATCTATGTTTTTTTTTCAGCTTTCAAACTTGATATAAAATTTTGTTCAATTTTCTTCATAATTATTTAAAAATATTTAGCACTTACTCCAGACAGTCGGAAAATTCAATTTTCATGTTTTTTGTTAATGTTCGTAAAATTGAAAATGAAAGTTCAGAATTATAAATGTGAGAGGCTATTTGTACAGAACATTTTCAGATTATTTGATAGGTAGTTGTAATTTAAGAAGTAAGAATTAAGATTCAATTTATACCTATACATTTCGAAAACTCGGGAGAATCCGGGACAAAAAATCTAAACTTAGGATAAATATTGCTTTTAGAAAAACCCGGGACACAAGATGTAAATCCGGGACTGTCCCAGCCAAACTGGTGACTTAATACAAATCTATGACTATAAAATCAAAGATGTAAATTTTTTCAAAAAACTTTGAAAATACTACTTTATTTGCTAGACATGCCACAGCCTAATCAAAAATGAGTGTTCGGATGTCGCTTCGTAATTCAAAAAATTAATTATATTATAAAAAACGCGGCAATAATATATGAAATCCTGGAATATCCAAATGTGCCAATTCAATTCAAATGAAATCAGTTTCAGATTCACAATCAATATGTCCCAGAAACTTTTATATTATATGTGGCATGCTTTGCAGTGGGTAAACGATCCATATAATTTTTGTTAGGGAGTGTCCCTTAATCACGTGATCGATTTTTTAAGGATTTTTGAACCCTCTCCTTCTTGGTAATACGTCGTGATATTCAAAATTACCCAACTTTCCCAATAAAACATCACATATATTTTTAGTTAAGTAAAATTTTTCGAACAAAATTTTAAAATTTACGTTAAATAAAATTTTGGATTTTTTTAAATTCAGCTAAATGATATCTTATTAGATACCTCCCCCCCCCCCCTATTTCAGTTGTATACACATACTTCCACATTTACAGAGAAATTTTTTAGGCTAAAAATATTTTTTTACCTGAGTTAAGTGAACTGCTGGTCTATCAGGGTGCACAAGACATGTAGCCTGGTCATCAATCAAATATTTAACATTTTTTAATATATTTGGAATGACCGTACGCGACTTTTCCACCTGATGATCCAAGTTCCAAGTCTGTTGGTAAATTAAATGTGATAAGAAAAATATAATTATTTATTACCTTAAATAATTATATTTTTCTACCTGAAACAAAATTCGATACTCTCTCGAAATATAAGGGTTGATGACATGATCTCCATAAATGCAGCAAACTTTATTCCAAGCGCCTTGACATGAAAATTTTCCGAAAGAATCGCAAACTGCAGTTTTTTTCAAAGGAAAGATTGCAAGACTTTTTTCCAAAACTGTCAAGTTGTTGTCGTCTTTCATTAGTTTCAATTTTTTTGCTTTTAGTATGTTATCATCAGCTTTGGTTTCGTCCAATTTATTTATTTGTGTGTATTTAGTTCTATCGAAAATGTGTCCGAAAAATCCGTAATGTATCAACCATTTTTTGAAATTATTAATCAAGAAGTCGATTTCTAATTTTGCAAGTTTATTTTCTCTATATTCAGTAGAGTGATAGAGATCGTCTTTGGTTTTGTAAAAGTAGGAACGAATACGGTCTTGTGCTTTTTTAAACATGTACAATTCTTTAGTTTTAGCATTTGTTTCCAAACCTACGAGTAAAACACCAACAAGTCTTCAAAATATTCTAAATCATCTAGTATTATAAATAATAATACCTTCAAACCAAAGTTTATCTTCAATACAATCATGTTTCAGATATTTATCAGATATCCCAATTCGTTCATGATGAGGTACAAGTTTAGAGCTTTTAAGAGCAGCAAAAATTTCAGAAAAGATTTTATCATTATTTTGCTTTATGAATAACTCAACACTTTTTCCAGCGTTCAGATAATCTTTTTGCCACACCCTGATGTTTTCCATAAGAAACTCAAAATCTAATTAAAGATTTAAAAAATCAAAGTAAGAAAACTTTATATATTATATTAAGAGTGTGAATTTTTAAATTAATAATATAAATCTATTCTTTCTACAATGTGGCAATATCTTTCCATGCCTGTTTTAATATAATCCTTTTGTTCTTTGAGTACCATCATCACAGATGTCTGTGGTTCGAGGGTTTGAAAATATTCATCACAATCGATCAAGACACCATCAGAAGTTAAATGATATGTTACGTCTTTCATCAGTTGTTTATCGGTCAACTGTAAATAAAATACATGACTTTAGTAGTCAGAAATTTCTACTAGAAAATTGATAATTTTTAAGTCTTACAGTGTTTTCGTTCATATTGCAAAGATAAGATTTGAAGTTGTACGTGAAAACAATTTTAGGGTAAATTAAATTGAAATGAGTAGTCATAGAAAATGTAGTTGATACTTGTAATACAAGAATATGTATCTTTACTCGTTTGTTTGGTACGAAATTAAAGTTATCTGGGATTAGTAAGTAAAACATTTAAATCATCCGAATATTATTATCATTATTCAATAATTGCAAAGCTGTTGAATTAATAGTGCTTCACATAATAAATTATTCAGTCGCTTTAACTCTGGTGTATTTGGTATGAAATTAAAATTATCTGTGTTATATGATGACATCAAAGAAAATTTGAATCAGAAATAAAATATTTATCGGGATATTATTATCATTATTCTCACTTATTTAGTATCAAATTAATTTTATATGAAAAATCAAAGAAAATTTGAATGTTTAACTGAATCATTTAAATGATCTGGCCATTAAAACCATTTTTCAATAATTTCGATGTGAATTCATACTGCTTCACAAAATAAATTATTCAGTGATATAAATTTTATCAAAATTCAATTGTAATTTTAGACGAAAACACAATTCAAGAGCAAAATCAGTGAAAAGTGAGTATTGAAGATTTATTTATACATAAAAAAGAATGTTGATAGTTGTAATACAAGAATAAGTAACTTTACTCGCTTATTTAATATCAAAATAAAGATATCAGGGTGATATCGTTAACATGAAAGAAAATTTGAATATTTTGTAATACATTTGAATTATCCAGGCATTATTAAGTCATTTAAAAATTAGTGAATTAATAGAACTTCACATAAAAAGTTATTCAGTCACTTTAACTCTTATATAAACTTCATTAAAATTAAATTGCAATTTCAGATGAAAACTCAATGGGCAAATGAATCAATCGAAATAAAAATTGAAAGCTTATTTATTTGTAGAAAAGAACATTATTACTTGTAATACAAGACTGTGTAACTTTACTCGCTTATTTGGTATTAAATAAAAATATATGTTAACATCAAAGAAAATTTGAATGTTTAAGTAAAACGTTTGAATTATCTGGATATTTAAGTCATAATTGTTGTTGAATTGATAGTGTTTCACATAACAAATTATTCAGTGATATAAATTTTATCAAAATTTCTTTGCAATTGCAGATGAAAACTAAATTCAAGAGCAAATTCTGTCGAAATGAATATTGAAAGTTTTTTATATGTAGAAAAGATTATTGATATTTGTAGAAAATGTAACTTTACTCCTTTATTTAGTATCAAATTGAAATTATGTGGGCTATATGTTGATATCGAAGAAAATCTGAATGCTCTAAGAAAAATATTAAAATTATCCAAACATTAAAACTATTACCTAATAATTACTAAATGATTGAATTAATAGTGCTTCACATAATAAATTATTCAGTAATACAAATTTTATTAAAATTGATTTGCAATTTCAGATGCAAACGCAATTTAAAGACAAATTCTGTCGAAATGAGCATCTAAGCGTAGAAAAGATTATCAATACTTGAAATTTTCACACTTATTTAGTATCAAATTAAAGATATCTTGACTATTCAAATCTTCTTTGATGTCAAAATTGAAGATATCTGAGTTATATGTTGATATCGTAGAAAATTTGAATGTTTTAATTATCCAAATATTAAAACAGTTATTTAATTATCACTAAATGATTGAATTCATAGTGCTTTACATAATAAATCATTCAGTGATATAAATTTTATTAAAACTCAAATGCAATTTCAGATGGAAACACAATTTGAAGACAAATTCAGTCGAAATGGACATCTAAGTGTAGAAAAGTTATCGATACTTGAAATTTAAATTAGATATCTTGATCTGATATTATAGATATCTTGAGTGTTCAAATCTTCTTTAATGTCAAAATTAAAGATCTGAGTTATATGTTGTTATCGAAGACAATTGAAAGGTTTTACGTAAAACATTAAAATTATCCGGATATAAAAACCAGTATTGAATAATTTCAAAATGATTTGATATATGGTGCTTCATATAAATCAATTGCTTAGGCTTTAATATAGATTTTTTAACTTTTAATAAAATATCAAAAATAAACTAATAAAACATTAAAAATAACATTAGCCTAACCTCTAAACAAATTTTTGATATATTGTATTTTACTATCAAGCCTCAAGCTACTTTCATGTATATTTTATAAAACCATTTGCTATATATTCAATCAAACACGTTAATTTTTGCAAAATTAAACTTTAAACTAGAAAAATAAATAAATAACTATCCTTTACCCCTTACCTTGTACTTCGTCATAACTTTGTGGTGGAATTCTTCCAAATTTCGGGCAACTACCCCGACTTTTTTGGTTCTTTCAACATTTGTCACTTTTATCACAACCATTGTTGATTTTTATGAGATATATTTCAAGAAAACTCTTGTTTTTACATAATTAAATTTAATTAAAAGTCAATCAATAAAAAATTGTGCACTTCAGCTGTCAAACTCTGCAGAGTTATGATAAGAGTGAAGTTCGTGAAAGTGAATTCAAGGTCGGCCATTCTAGGGTCGGCCATCTTGTTAAAAATAAATAATTTAATTTGACAGTTGTCAATATGGCTGCCGTGTAATAATAAACAAGGTTTGATGTAGTTCATTAATAGTTTAATTAAGTTTAAGTCATATAGTAGTTAGTATTTGATTAGTGCATGCAAAAATTGTTGGTGTTCACTTAAGTTAGGTACTAAAAGTGCTGTTACACTTTATAGGTTATATTGTCACAACAAAAGATATTTATTATCTATCCTTTACCATGTCGATGAGACCTGATGACCATCGTCGCAAATGGGACAAAGATGAATATGAAAGAATTGCTGCAGAACGTCTCCGTGATGACAGTGAAAGTGATGATGATACCTCTTCCAAAACCCCAGCCCAAAGGGAATACCTGAAACAGAGAGATTACAAAGTTGATTTAGAGAGCCGCTTGGGCAAAAGTGTTGTCATTAATAAAAGTACACCCAACTCTCAGTCGGGGGGCTATTATTGTAATGTCTGTGATTGTGTTGTTAAGGATTCGATTAACTTTCTTGATCACATAAATGGCAAGAAACATCAGAGGAATCTGGGGATGTCGATGAGGGTTGAACGGAGTACATTGGATCAGGTAATAATAGTCATATGTTATTCGTTTTGTTTGCATTATTAAAATTATCTCAGACACCTCATTTGCTTTGAATTATTGCATATTATCTAGATAATTTAAATGTTATACTTTGAGCAATCAAACTTTAGGTGTGTTTATATTTAATTATTTGCGTCTTGTTATATATCATTTACTATTGGAGTCTTATATTACTTTTCTCATACACATTATGTACTTTATTTGTTCATTTAATCAAAGAATAATATATTTATTTATGAATCTTAATTACTGGGAACTTGCAAGTAATTTAAATACAATGAAAAGTTTTATATTAATCAAAATAAAATAAAAATAAAATACAAATACAAATAAAAATATTACAAATAAAATATTAAATTCACTGTGATGATATGGAGTTTACGCCTAGAAGATCTTTTTTGATAACTGTTCACTCTTACCAATTTATCTTTGTATTACAAGACTGACAAAAGAGTTTACATTGAATGTTTAGTCTTCCATGGCTTTTTTGTTAAATTTCAAGTTAAGCTGGTGTTCTACATTTTAAAAATCATCACCTCTTTTGACGCACAATTTTTTACAACACTACAAGTTCAATTCAGGATCAATTATTAAGAAAATCAGCATCATTCCTTTATCATTATTTCTTTACATGGGAAAAATTATTAAGAAATTCAGTGTCCTTTATCAGGTGAAAGCGAGGTTTCAGACAAACAAGAAAAAAATGGAAGAGAAGCAGAAAGACGTAGAGTTAGAAGTTCGGATACGTGAAGCCCAAGAAGAAGAAGAACGACAGAAGGAGTACAGGAGGCTAAAACGAAGGGAACGGAAAAGAAAACTTGAAGAAGCTGAAGAAGAAGTCGGTGAAGGTCAGGAAGAACTTGCTTCGATCATGGGTTTTTCAGGTTTTGGAGGTTCAAAGAAGTAAAGAAATATATTAGTTTAAAGTAAAATTGTGCATAAATAAACGTATTTTAAGGAATTGGTTTTACATTTGATATACATAGCAAGTGTGTTTTAAGTTAAATGAAAGTACAAAAGTATGTGAGCCCAAATAATAAAATAAAATTAGTGACTACTTCTATTAAAACTTATTTTTAAAATTTTATTGGAGTTATAAAAATATATATCATGCTACAAGAGGAGCAAATAAATATACCAGCCGGGTATTTTTACCATTTTAAATATTACTAACTTTAAATTTGCTGGTGGTTTTTGTTTGGATAGACAATTGATTTAGTGTTCAGTTTTTCATTTAGCCTACGTATTGGAATATAGGACATTTTTTTACATTTCTTAAAATGTCTTGAAATTTTAATTCGGAACATTTTAATTTGTGTACATTAGTAAAAACTAGATAAAATTTACTAAAATCTAGTGATAATTATAGTACACACTTACATAATAAATTTTTGAATAAAATTGTCTGGGACATTTTTTATGCAAGAAGTGAATTTGAAACATTTGTTTGATTACCTTAGAAATTTTGCCCCAATTCGTTTTATATATAACAGTAAAAACTAGATAAAATTTACTAAAATCTAGTAAAAACTGTTTTATACATTTGGATATTAAAATTCCGAAAAATTCGTAGTTGAAATGCGGACTTCGGTATTTCTATATATAGCAAGGGATTTAGTACAGTTTTTACTTTTTTTTTTTTTCAAATAACTTTTAATTTTCTTCTCGGACATTATAATTTGTTTACATTAGTAAAAACTAGATAAAATTGGCTAAAATCTAGTAAAAACTGTTATATACATTTGTATTTTAAAATTTCGAATAATTCTTACTTGAAACGCGGACTTTGGTATTTCTATATATTGCAAGGACTTCAGTACATTTTTTTACTTTTTTTTTTTCAAATAACTTTTAATTTCCTTTTGGACATTATAATTCATTTAATTAGTAGATAAAATTTCATAAAATCTAGTGATAACTATTATTCACACTTGGATATGAAAATTTTGATTAAAATGATTTGTGATAGTGTTAAAGAGGCACTTATATATTTCGTATACATTCTTATATAACATTCTTGTTTAATTCTGTCAAAATAATTTTTATAATTTAAACCCATTTGCTTGTCACTTTAATTAAATTTAAAATGTCCCAGAACTATTTGGCACCGTTTTATAGTGTGTTAATTTGTTTTCAAAATATTGAATAAACATTCCAATTTTCTTCAATATTATCCTATGATCCTGATAAATTTTAATATGATACCCACATTTTCACACGTCTCGTATCACATTTCAAATATCAGTAATCTTTTCTAAAAAATTTTGAATACTTATTTTAATTTTTTCATTTCAAATTTGCCCTGAAATCGTTTTTTTTGCAATATGATGAGAACTTGAAATAAGAATTCCGTCTATTCATAAATAACAATGTATTATGCATATATAAACTTTAGTTTTATAAATTCATTCAAATACAATATGTACAAAATGGCACATGATGGATACATATAATATTTTATTCATATGGCTAATTATCTTCTCAAGTGCAACAATTACTATTTATATTCATTTAAAACTAATAATATATTGTGCATTTCGCATTTACTATATATTCTGAATAAACTTATACAAATTAATTTGATGTCTAGTAAAATTAATCACAATTGTACATTTATCAATTTCATAATAATATATTATATTTTTAAGTGAGTCTTCTAGCAAAATATAAGTCTTATGGTAATTGTATATTTAATGCATAGCTCAATTCTTATATACATGCAATATATTAAATATTTCTAAACTAAATTATATCTTATATATTATTTGGCAGATAAATTCTTAAACTATATTTATTATGATGTTCAAGATTTTTTTGGGAATGACTATCAAAAATATTACAATATAAATATTACTGTGTCATTTAATACTTAATAATATTTTCCCACTTTATTATAAATAATGTTCGTATATAAAAATACTTTTTTATTATATATTTTTCAAAAAAGCACTTTTGCCTATACACGTTATTTGTGTTTATCACTATAATTGATATCTTTGAATATAAAAAAGTTACAAATTTATTAAGTATATAGATATCAATATTTCATTACCAAGGCATTTCATAAATACTTTCAGTATATATTTTTAGTTGTTTCAAAAACACCATTAAAAATCATTTAGAATACTTTTTAGAATTCATTGACTTAAATATATGTACAAGGGGTATAAAAATAAATATTTCATATTAAATAGTACTATAAAAAATAATTTTCATCTATACTACATGTTTATTCCATGTGTCTAAATTTATGTGCAGACATTTGCGCCAGGCCCAAAACTGCATAATTGCACACCAGACAATGGTAATGTGTTTGTTTCATATTATGAACGCAACTGCCCGATTCGGCCCTGGTCGAACCTTCATTTGGAGATCCATCAGAATTTTCATTTCCACCTGCACCTCGTGTGCAATCCATTCCTGGTGTGAATTTTTCGAAACCTGCACTTTTTATTTGATTCATCTTATTATGTTGACGTCTATGAGCAACTACTTTGTTTGTATCGGAACATATGAAGTCGCAGATTTGGCAATGGAAGTGGGATGACTTGTTATTTGGACCTGAAATAAAATATATAGTCATTAAATGATTTTTCCTTTACAGATTCTTTTTTTTTATTTAATGGCGTTGCTAACTTTGAGCATTTAGCCACCTACTACAATACATTATATTCTATGCAATAATTTTCTATTCTATACAATTTTTTTATCTTATCCGCTATATACATTTTTCTAACAACTAAATACACTTAAATACAGTCTGAAATTTTATATTATACACTTTTAATTTAAATGACAATCAAAACGATTTAAATTATATAAAAAATCTTATTTGAAAAAAAATAAACAACATAAAATTAACGAGGAAGTTATATAACGCAGTCGAAATAGAAAAGTGCCTCTTTAATGCTATCACAACTTATTTCATTCAAAATTTCTGTATCCAAGGGTATATAAAAGTTTTTACTAGAGTTTAGTAAATTTTATCTAGTTTTTACTGATGTTTTTGAATTAAATTTTTAAACATTTTAGGAAATATAAAAAAATGTCTTACATCTATATATTGGGGTATATAGAAATACTAAAGTCCGCACTTCAACTACAAATTATTTTAAATTTTAATAACTGTATATAGTAGGTTTTAGTACATTTTAGTTAATTTTATCTAGTTTTTATTAATTTAAAAAATTTTATCCAGGATAAAAATTAAATGTTATTTGGAAAAAGTAAAAAATTGCTCTAAATTTATATAAGACAAATTATTAAAATACTAAAGTCTGCATTTCAACTACGAATTGTTCTAAATTATAGTATACGTGTATATAAAACCGTTTTCACTAAATTTTAGTAAATTTTATTTAGTTTTTTCTCAAGTTAACAAATTGCAATAAGAATAAGAATAAAAATTTTAAGTAATTTTAAAAAATGTAAAAAAATGTCCTAGATTTTTATATCCCGAATTATATGGAAATACTAAAGTCCTCTTTTCGACTGCAATTTATTCCAAATTTTATTATGCAGATGTTTGCAAGTTTACGATATTTTAATAAATTTTATCTAGTTTTTAACAATGCAAAGAAATTATAATGTACGAAACGAAAATTAAAAGTTATTCAAGTTAGAAAAGTAAAAAAATGTTCTGTAATAAAATATTGCACATGATGAAAATACTGAAATACTGAAGTCTCTGATTTCAACTACGAATTATTCAAAATTTCAATATGCAAGAGGATATCAAAGTTTTTCCCTGTTTTTAGTAAATTTTGTGTAGTTTTTACTGATGTATGAAAATTATAATGTCCCAAATGAAAATTACAAGTTATTTGAAAAAAAGTAAAAAAAAAACTCAATCCATTGTTAAAGAACTAAAGTCCGCATTTCAACTACGAATTATTCAAAATTTTAATATCCAACCAATTTTTAATATATCAATTATTTAATATCCAAGTGTTCTTAATAAGTTGTAGTTTTTACTGATATATAGAAACTATATTGTTCGAAAAGAAAATTAAAAGTTATTCGAAGAAATGTAAAAAAATTTACTAAATTCACACGTTACAAATTATAAAAATATCAAAGTCCGCATTTCAACTACGAATTGTTCAAATTTTTAGTATTGAGGTGTATATAACAGTTTTTCTTAAACTGTAGTAAATTTTATCTAGTTTGTATGCTAATATCTAAATGAAAATTAAAAGTTAATTTAGAAAATGCGGGAAAATGTCCTAAATCCGTATATTACAAATTATGAAGCTACTAAATTCATTCAACTACGCATTATTCAAAAATTTAAAATGCAAGTGTATATAACAGTTATTATTAGACTTAGTAAATTTTATCTAGCTTTTACTAATGTATAGAAATTAAAATGTTCAGAATAAAAATTTCATGTCGTTTTAGGAAACGCAAAAAATGTCCTACGGTAAAAATCTTCGACCAGTTCTCGAGACGGGTATTTTTACACGCCCCGCTTTTAGTGTTATGATATTATTATTACACTTACCGATATTTTTATTATATTCGCAATCAGCATAACCACAGCTCATATTAGCCCGGAATTGTTTAAAATCTCCACCCATTAATTTGTCTAGACGTTCATGTCTTGCAGAATGTTGAACAAACCGCGTTTTATCACAGAAACTATAACAGCAATCATTCCTAAAGAAAAAAAATAGTTAAAATTTACTGTAAAATTAGATAACTTAATCATTATTTATAAGAAATTATTCAATAAGTAAATATTGTGAATTTTATATGGAAAGGAAAAAACAACTACTGAGTTGTTTTTCCCAACATGTCAATGTAGTATACAATGTCCCTTTTCGGCGGACTATTGTAAATTCATTAAATTTACTGAATGTCCTTTACTGGACAGTTGTAAATAAAAAAAAAAATCACACAAGTTGGGTAAAAAAATTATCTGTTTACCTTATACAATGAAAGTGGCTTTGATGATTACGATATCCGCAATTCATAAAATTGCAGTCTTCGTTGAATTTGAATTTTAGGTAACCTTTAGGTACAGGTTCGTCTTTGAACATTCGGTTATTTTTTGGTTTATTGGCTGCGTGCACGTCTTGGCCTATAAGGTGTTGAACCATTGGAAAATTTGATGATATTAATTTTTGGTTCAAAATAGGCGACGATTCTACTATATTAGGTGCAGATATAGGACGAAACTCGTTAAAACTTCCATTACTAGACGTATCAGCCAATTCGCTAAACTTCCTGATTTTAATTTTCTTGAAATTTGGTGTTGTGTCCTGATTTTCGGGTTCAGGTGCAGGTCGTTTCACAGGTTGTCCATTCAAGTGTCCAATATCTAAACCTGGTGATGATTCGGGCATAAATGGAAATTCTGGTCGAATTTGTGATGGTGGATTTTGTGTCAACATTTGTTGGTTCATGAGTTGATAGTAGTTGTGCAAATAAAATTGCATTTTTTGGTAATTCAAATAATCAGCAAGGTGCTGGTCAAAAACAGGCTGTTGTTGAGATTCTGTCGGTAATTTCGGTGTTTTACAATTTTGTGTTAAATCTTCTGGTGCCACTAAGTCTTCTTTAGGACTTATATGTGGCCCATTACCATTCTGGCTTGGCACAGAATTTGGTACAGACAAATTTTGTACTTCCAGTTCTTCGCAAGGTTTTTCATCTATAACAAGTTCTGATTCACTATTATCAGGATCATCCTTTTTTACTGATAAATCTTCTGATTTTGTGTAATCTAACACTTCTTCATCAGGGTAGGTTTCTGTTGGTTCTGGTTTAGAGTGGGTTTGTTGATGCATTAGAAGATGGGTTTGGTCAACGAATGCTTGATAGCAAATATCACAGTGGTAATGATTTTTCTTTTTTAATTTGCAGCATGATTTGCAAATATCTGGAAAAATAAAAATACTTGTTAGTAGGAATAAAAACAATAAAGCATGAATAAACATGCAAAGGAAAGCTAGATTTGCTAAATTTGTGTTTTCTGGGTGTTTTTGATTATGCTGAAGCAAATGAGACCAATTTTAGGAAGAACTAGTGGTGTATGGCATCGTTGTTAAGGCAAATTGCTGGAACTTCCCGTACCGTAATGAAATATTCGAGAAATTTTAAACGTTTTCAAATATATTATTACAAATACTGTAACTTTCATTATTTTTGCTATCTTGTTATATCTATGCAAATCAAATGTAAATCATAAATCAATTTCCAGATCTCCAGAACATTAACAATCGTCATTTCATTTCAAATTCAATTTAAAAAAAAAATAGTTGCCTTTTTTACACAAAATTGAAAAAGTGCTCCCGTATAGTCACAGTCTAAACGCATATGAAAATAATTCTGTGCGACATTTTCACTTATACTGTGCTTAGCTTGGCAGCATTTTCTAACAGTCTAAACGCACTTGGGTAAATATTTGTACCAGAGTGGCGCTTAGACTATGCTTAGCCTGGGTATTTTCTTGAATTTTTAATCCAACATTAAAAAAATATTTTATGGTGAATAAAAAAAGATGTAATAATTTTTTATCTTCAAAAGCAATTGTTTTGTCCATACAAGCAGAAAGTTTTTTGAATCATTCAAATCGGATGTTTAGTTCTCTCAAAAACTGCCATTTTTTGCACATTTATCTCGGTATCTCCGAAACGGCTGGACCTGCCTTTTCGAAAAACTAATCACCACTTCTCACAGTCATTACAAATTGAAATGTTTTTAATCATTCAAATCGGATGCTCCGTTATCTCAAAAACTCCATTTCTATTTTCTACACTCTTTGTTCCGTATCTCCGAAACGGCTGGACCTGCCTTTGCCAAAAACTAATCAGCACATCTCCATATAAATTCGAATCGAATGTTTTTTTAACCATTCAAATCAGTTGATCGGTGCGCCCAAAAACGTGGACAAAAAATTATATCCTTACACACACACATAATTTTTTCTAAGGTATGCCAAAATATTCAGAAACCTCTAAGAAATGCAAAAAATTTCAATTTTTATTTTTGGACGATTACAATAACTTACCCTACGGTAAAAAAATTACACAATTGTACGTTTCACCTAAATAGCTGAGTCTCAATTCTTAATTAGTTACTCGCCTTAAGGCAAAATGCTACTCGAAACTAGTTTTTTTTATAATGTGAATGCTGAATGTTTATTAAAATTATTAAATTTACTTCAACGTGCTTAAAACATAGTTAAGTATAATGATTAATTAATAAAGAAATGCAGTAAACATTTTTAAGTGCCTTAAAGCTTATGTCATAATTTTTTTTTCAAACTTTATTTGTTTATTTTATTTAGCAATATATACATTTCATATATATCCATATCTCAGTTACTTACCATTTGATTCAGGCGGGGGCTTAAGGTCCTTATGACGCATTTTTCTAGGTACTTTTATCACTGAAAAGAAACATAAAAATATAAATATTTTGGTCCAAAAACTTAACTTTTAATTTAGAATTAATTTCTGAAAACTTACCAATTTTGCCTTCCTCGTCGCTATTTTCCTCACTATTATCAAAATCAGGAAATTGTTTGCTAATAATCAGACTTGTAAGTTTTGGTTCAGCATTCATAATCTACAAGAAAAGAATTATTTAGTAATCCATCTATAACCAACCAAATATATATATATTTCTTAATTACAATATTTATTACAACTGTTAAATAATTTAACATCTAGTAATAATAATGAAAAATAACATAAATTTAAATAAATAAGAGTACAAAGGATAGAATTTACATTGAAATGATATCCGTATTATGATGATTTAATATAAAATAAAAGCAAATAATAATAATAAAATTAAGAAATAAAATAAATAAAATTTCTGAATAATAAAAATAATACTAGAAAAACAATAAAGTGGAATTAAAACAATAAGTGACAGATAATAATAAATATAACAAAATAACAATATTAGAAATAATAAGATAATAATAATAATAATAATAATGATAATAATAACAATAATAATATTAATGTTAGCGTTTATAAATGGCTATTTATGATGATCATTTATCATCCAAATATAGTCATGATATTTCGTTCCTCTTACCTCATTATAAATTTCGTAAAATTTATTACTAGACACATTGCTTTTCAAAGTTCCTTCACTTTCCTTAGCATTGTACCCAATAAGATTATTTTCTAAAACCAAATCGTCGACTTCAAAATGACATCTATAGTGATCAAAAATATTATCAAACGTCCTAGGAATTAATTGTTGATAACGTTGCGCCGGGCAATCAGTAATCAGGCAATGTATATGTTTTACATCATTACTTATGTAACAATCCAGTACAGATCCGTTGGATTGTGGGTTACTAGTGCACCTGTCGGTGATGTGATTTTTCAAAAAATTGGTAAAAGATTCATCAGAGCCACTTGGTGGACTTTCAGGTCTCCTGATCACATTTGCTTGAATTTTATCCTCTGGGTTAATTTGTGGGCTGTAACAAGGCCTGATGCTGATATCTGGTAAAGGTGCAGGAGCATTGTCGCTAATTCTGGAACTGACACTCAAATCCGTAGGCATTACTGAAATTTCAGTACCTGTCGACAAAACGACTTTGCCAAGGGATGTCGGAGTTTTGTTTGCCCCAAAATTTAACGATGAAGCAAAAGATTCCGCAGATATATCAGCAATTTCTGGTAATTGCTGACGCCTATAACTAACTTCTTGATCCTTACGTTCGTGTTTTCTTTTATGTGAATAAAGTTGACCACTAGAATGCAGGACGTAGTTGCAATTTTCGCGTATACAGTGTATGTGATTGCAGTTTTTGGAATATTTGCAATCTTTGAAACTGCATTCTTCAGTTTTCAAGAACTTCTTAAAACCGTCCCGGTTCAATTGCTCGTCTTTTATGTGGTACGATTTGTGTTTTTCTGAGAACAAAATTTTTAAATTTAGTACAACAAATATAAAATATAGATGTTCACGAATTTTTTTAATACTTACCCATATCAGCTTTGTTTTTGAATGTGAATTGGCAATTACTTCTTCGGCAATGGAAATGTGTGGTTCGTTGGCGATAAAATATGCAATATTCTGCGTTGCATTCTTCGGTTGCACGATATCTTTGAAATCTGGAAAAGGAAAAAAATCTCAATTTTTTACTAATCCATACGTATATAAAAAAAATTAAGTGTCTATTTGTATTATTAAAATAGGTGTTTTTTAACGTGCATATGGATATAAATAGGTAGAGGCTGTTCTAAGCAAAAAAGAATTTTGAATACACATCTCAATATTGTAATAAAAAATCTTATTGATAAATTACTTAACTTTTTGATATTTTAAGCGAACAATACTTAAATATAAAAAACTATTTCATTGTTCAAAAGAACAAAACTTGTTGTTCTACAATCGGTGACCCCGACGTGATTATCAAAATTTCTATCTGTCTGCCTGTTTGAACTAATCTCCAAAAACAGCTGGACCGATTTTAATGAAACTTTCTTAGAAGGTAGGTGACATAAGTGGAATTAACTTAGAGTACTTTTATTTTAGAAGAAAGGTATCTTATGTTATCTTATGTTAACTTTTCTTATCTAGTTAAACTCGAGTTTTTTTAAGGGCTGGAATTTAAAATAATAATTATTTTGGTTTTTGCATTTTATCTCTTCTTATCCAAAAAGGGAGTCCAAAAATCTTTAAAAATCGATCACGTGATTACTGTATTTTAAAAAGTTAATTATTTTGGTTTTTGCATTTTATTTCTTCATATCATAATTCAAAATATTTTAATAATCTCATATACATTCTTATATGTCATAAATCTCACTTAAATTTAATTCAAACTATTTTATTCAATTTTTATGGTTGTTCTAACATTTTAGCAATTAATATAAATTACATTAAATTAAATACATTACATTACATTAAAATTGATAAATTATTTAAAGGTTTTTTGAGTTATTAACATTGATAGTTGTTTTATCTCAAAATAAATATCCATACGGTGCATTTTTCATTTAGAAAAGCCCAAAATAGATAATTCTGGGTCTTACTGAAGCTTTTTTTTTATCGGATGTTGATGCAACTTGCCTAAAGGCAAAATGATACTAACAACTGAAGTTTTTATCATATTATACTTGTGGATGTTTAGCATTAGATAATTTAACTAGATTACAAATTGGAAACACATATTTTTAAT